ATAGATAGATAGATAGATAGATAGATAGATAGATAGATAGATAGATAGATAGATACTATCAAACACTACAACTTCCGCCCATAGACATATTCTATCAAACACGAAAACTTCCGTCCATAGACGCATTCTATCATACACTACAACTTCTGCCCATAGACATATTCTATCAAACACGAAAACTTCCGTCCATAGACACATTCTATCAAACACTACAACTTCCGCCCATAGACATATTCCGTGAAACACTACAACTTCCAGCGATAGACTTAATCTATCAAACAAGACAACTTCCGCCCAAAGACATAATATTCCGCCAAACACGACAACTTCCGCCCAGAGCCGTATTATATATTCTATCAAACATTACAATAATAATAATAAATGACATTTATATAGCACTCAACCCCGATTAAAGTACACAGGCTCTGTCGAGCGCTTACAACTCCCTGGTAAATAAGTAAATAAGCACTGGACTCACCTTAGAGCTCAGCAAAAGTTTGACGCACTCATCCGACCCGCTGTAGATGGCGTGCACTATGAGTTCCCCCTCCAGCGTCTCCCCGCACGACTCGGTCAGAACTGGCCGGAAAGTCAGGTTTTTGGGACGTATTTTCTCGCACCTCTGTGAGATGTGAGCATGGGAGTGTGTCAATGATCAAGAAACATATCATCATCATCGTCATCATCATCATTGCCTTTCTCACCCTGCACTTTCCTCTTATCTCTATCCTGGGATAGCCTCTTGATGTTGTCACATGTAAGAAACGTATCGGTATGATACAATTGTGTTCTCTTCTTCTTTATGTGGAAAAGACGCGGCTTTGCTCGGCACCAAATACCATCTCCACCCAACCCTTTGCTTGGGTTAGTAATAATCAAAAAACAAATTCTAACACAGGTTCACCTGGATGCAGCCCTTTTCACGAGTGACAAATATTCAAAAGCAAATATTATAAACTATACTTTAATTCTGCCCTTTGCAGAAGTTACAAATGATCAAAAACAAGTTGTAACAATAGTTTTCCTTAAATGCATCCGTTTGTAATTAAAAACAAAGATTTACCTTATTGATTCCGGTTGCAATAAAAAACAATTTAATTTCAATATTGGTTTACATTCTTATGCAGTTCTTTGCAGGGGTTACACATTAGTATCAAAATCAAGTTCTATTAAAGGTTTACATTTAAATACCCCCCCAAACCCCCCCCCCAAAAAAAACAACAACAACAACAACAACAACACAAAACAACCCATGCACCTTGATGTAGCCCTTTGAAGTGGTTGCAAAATATCAAAATAAAAAAAAACTATCAAAGTTTACCTTAAAAGAAGCAAAACAACCCCCCCCCCAACAAAACAACAACAACAAAACACCACCACCACCACCACCAACAACAACAACAGCAGCAACCACTTATTACCCTCAAGCAGCCCTTGAGTGGCAAGGACGACCTCTTGACCCCGTGACCCTTCCCCTCCCCCACGAGCCCAGGGATGATGCGTGCCAGAAGCTGGACATTGCCCACAGTAGCGGCCGAGCATGCTGGGACGATGGACACTTTGCGGGGCGGGGAGCCGGTCGGCCACGGATGAGGGGTGGAGCAGCTTCCGGCCACCAGCGTGTCTGTGATGGCTTCGTTGTCATGGAGACGCCGGTGGAATTTGACGGCCACTGTGTGTCCGCACATGATGAAGGTGTTGGGGAACAAGGAGCGGAGGCAGTCTTTGCACAGTTCTGAGGAGAGGATGGTGGACAGGACGGACGTTTTGAAGAAGGAAACGATTTTTATGAACTTTATCTATATCTATCTCACCCACGACTACACTGGTGGTGTGGAAAGCAGAAACTATCGCACTCTATAACAATCTAACGGTCTCACTGTCCCACTCTCTCACAATCTCACTCCCCCACTCTCTCACAATTTCACTATATCAAATTCTACCTATCTAAAATCACACAACCTCACTGTCTCACTCTGTAAAAATCTTACTTGCTCACTATCTCACTATCTCATCTTCTCACAATCGTACAATCTCACCTTCTCACAATCTCATTCTGTCACAATCTTACTTGCTCGCTATCTCACTTTCTCATCTTCTCACAATCGTACAATCTCACCTTCTCACAATCTCATTCTGTCATAATATCACTCGCTCATGTTCTCAATACTTATCAATCAGACTTTCACAATCTCACAATCTCACTGTCTCAGAAGAATCTCAATATTTCACAATCTCTTTATTTCGATCCCTCACAATCTCTCTACCTCACATCATTCCCACTACCGGTATCTTATAATCTCACTATCTCACAATCTAACTTTCTCACTATCTCATATCTCACAATCTCATTATCTCACCAATTCACTATCTCACCATTTTACTCTCTCCCCATCTCACTATCTCACTATTTGACCACCTCACAATCTCACTCCCTCACCATATCACCATCCCACTTTTTCACTATCTCACCATCTCACTATATCACAATCCCACCACCTCACATTCTCACAATCCCACCATCCCACTTCCTCACTATCTCACTATTTGACCACCTCACAATCTCACTCCCTAACAATCAAACCATCCCATTTTCTCACAATCCCACCATTTCACAATCTCCCTTCCTCACCATCTCTCAATCTCACAATCCCACCATCTCACAATCCCACTGTCTCACTACTCACCCACAACCAAGGGCTGTAAAGCCACACCCACGAGATGCTCCAGTCTGCCGTGAACACAGTGTGGGTTGTACCATGCCAAGTAACTCGCCTCTGCCTGCTCGAAGCGCCTCAGGGAAACATCTGAAGGAACAACAGAAGGTACGATACGCGTCAGGAGTGTGGGTGGTTGGCGGATGCAGCTCGGGTGTGGTTTGCTCCTTCTTTCCTATCAAACATCTACCTTCCTTATCTCTCCTCCTTCTTCTTTTTGTGTTTGTTCCTCTCTTGTAACACCTCTAATCTTCGGCACTGACTTAAATTACCTTATTGTGTTGCAAGTGCCGTAAAACTCTTACTAAACCAAAAAACAATACACATGAGTAGAGATAGATTACACATCATACAGATTTCAACATAAGTTAAGGACCACTTGCAAATTTGGCTAAAATTCCCCGAGGATTTCCGTGCTGCACGTGGTGGTTTTGACCCTTTTGGGAACATTGCAGTAGGCATTGTTAACCCATTATCACTTTCAGAACGAACAAACAACCCCCCCCCCCAAAAAAAAAAAAGAAAGAAAAAGAAACATTCCTTGCTGTCTTTTTATTCAGATTTTTAAAACTCAGGGCAGTCTGTCAAGGTGGTCCTTAACTTATGTTGAAGTCTGTAGCATTTGAATGAAATGACCGGAAAGTTATGGCCTTTACAAATGATCCAATACGGTAAAATGTCAAGCTTAAAGCTTGAACCTTCACCAGATTTCAAGGTGTGAATTTTCACGTACAACAATTGATTATGAATAATGCAACACAAATGTTGTTTATAACACAAATAAATGATGCTATAATAATATGAGTTTCACAATACAATATAGAGACGATATTCTGCTCTCCTGTAACCAGAACAAAATTAAGTGGTTAGGAAGAGGGTAATAATGACTGTCATCAATACTCAAATACTTAAATAAAATTGTGACAAACTGGGCCTGTAATAAACTGGGCCTGTGACAAACCGGGCCTGTGACAAACTGGGCAACCCCCCCCCCAAAAAAAACCA